CACTATACCGGTACGGTATGGTCAGCGCCAGAGCGCTGTTTTGATGCGCTAAGCTTAGCGCAGGAGCTAGCAAGGAGCGGCAGCGGCAGCGCAGCATTAGCGCAGCAGCAAGCGGAGCAGCAGCAGGGCGACTGAGCCAGCACGGCGGCCATTGCCGCCTGAGGTACCTGGGAGCCGGAGGACCTCTCCTCCCTCCCTCGTCAGCTCTCTCTCTCTTTCTCTCCTCCTCCTCCTCCTCCTCCTTCTTCTTCTTCTTCTTCTTCTTCTTCTTCTTCTTCTTCATCGTCTTCTTCTTCTTCTTCTTCTTCTTCAGACTAGAGACTTATGCTAGTTGGACAGAGATCAGAGTTGGACTTCGGTGATATGAGACTGTGGTACTTACTAGATTGGAGACTTGGAGATCGTTGGGGTTGATACTTGGCGACATCACAGTTCAGACACCGGTTACATTTGGACTAGTATCCCCGACATTGGTGACCTATGGTCCTCGACATTTTGATATTGTTGGACGACATTTTGGACTAACATATCGGTGACCTATCAGATTCTACCTCGGTGACTTTCGGTGCTGTCTACCTTCCCCCACCTCTTCGTCTCTCCTTCCCCATTCGTCTGTGTATGTGTGTACAGGGCTGAGCATCTTCTATGTATGGCTCAGACCCCACCATCCCACGATTGAATGTGTGTGGAGTGATGCTATGTGAGTCAGTCTATGTGAGTCAGTCTATGTGAGTCAGTCCGTTTATCAGACTTCCGTTGCATCTATACTCATCCTACATTGGTTGATTCTTGGTTCTGCCCATACTCATTGGAGTATGCAACAGATAGAGACCAAAGAAGAGAGAAAGAAGAAGAAGAAGAAGAAGAAGAAGAAGAAGAAGATGTACACCAGCAAGACCAATGACAAATCCCCCTTCTCTCTCCACCTTCCTCCTCCTCCTTCACTTCGCCAATCTTATTCTTCTTCCAATCATAATAATAATGAATGAACCACAGTCAATATCCGAGGTTCCCTCTTACTGCTGACACGACAACAGGTCCACCATAGCTATGGCTTCCCCCCCTTCTTCCACCTCTCACATGCCTAGGCTATGGCGGACTACTGAGGGCCCTGCCCTCCTGTGCAAAGGACAACGCAAAGCAGCTGTGTCGCTGCACTCTTGTCCAAAGGACAACCCAAAGCAGCTATGCCGGTGCTGACTAAGCCGCCATGCCTGACTCTGCCTCAAGGTTCCTTGGTGTGGCGCTACCCCAACTGGGGCCTTCCAGATGCAGCGCCCAACAAGGTGATGAAGATGGTGTCCACCATAGCCAGGTAGGTACCTCACCCCTCTCCTCCTTCGCCCCCTTCTTCCTCCTCCTCAGGCTGGACGGCTCGCCACAGCCAGGCTGAGCGCCCAGCTGCTCGTCACCTCCAGGCAGCGCTGCCCAAGTCCAGCGCTTGGCTCTAGCAGCATGTCGCCAATCCTTGCATACCGCAAATGAGGAGGCGCTGTTTGCTCCTCCCGAAGATATAGCGGCCTACTGGCCTCCCGGATATATAGCGGCCTACTGGCCTCTTGGGCGGTGACCTCCTAGGCCGAGCGGCCTCCTAGCAACCAGTACCTCCTCCCTTTCGGAGGGAAACATCATTGCAGGCTCTGCTATCGTCCGGACAGGCCCTAGACTCAGGGTACTTGGACTGGTACCGGCCTACCTCTAACCTACCGCTACTGGGCCTCTAAAAATGCCAACTTTTTGGCTTCTTCTGCTCGGCCTCCAGCACCCGACACTCCTACCATTACTTGAGTGGTACCGGCCTACCTGCTACTTGAGTGTTTTTCCCCGCTGCTCTAAGTGTTGGGGGCCTACCCCCGCTACTCGAGTGTTTTCCCCGCTGCAACCCTCAAAGTCACTGCCACAGTTAACTACCGGCCCTGCAGGGCCTTTCAACCAACAAGTACCCTTGAGGGTCACACACACACTCAGCCGACAAGCACTCAGACAGGCACGCAAACCAGCAGGCAGGCACACACACACAGACTTGGAAACCACAGCAGAATGCGGGAGTCTCAGCAAGGCATTCATTCCAGCGGCAAATCCCAGAAATCAGCAGTGTTCTCAGTCTGTGTTTTGGTGGGTCATTACAGGAAGGACAATGCTTTACGTCCGCCAGAGTTGATTAATTCTCCCACAGGCCACCAGCCATGGTGGTAAGCATTCCCAATTACATGCATACAATAGTCCACAGCGAGATGGATACAACTTGGGGGATACTCACATGAGGAGCTTTCCTGGAGGTATCTGACCGTTTTTCTGTCCATGTGAGGATGCACCTGGCCGGAATTAGGTCCACAGGTAAGCTGAAAAAGTCCTAGTGTGAGTATGTTCTTCCACAGATAAGTTTGAAAATCCTAGTCTCAGTATGCCCTTAGACTGACGGGGTCGTGAGATGGTCAATGAGAAAGAGAAGAGGCAGCTATCAGAGCTGATGGATCTCATTCCAAAAGGAAACAAATGCGTACGAACTTCACAAAGGCAATATGCCATTGTTGCCAAGTGCAGTCTAGACCTTCATGCTCTTCACAAACCACCCATAATTTCAAGGTCAAGTTAACATGGTGGTAGAACCTATTCTGAAGTCAAACGTGCTTACTTTTTTTTTTTTTTTTTTTACAAAACTGAGAACCTCAAGGTTCTGACTCCTACCATTCTGGGGAGCAACAGTCAGGTTCCTATTCCCCCGGCAAGTCAATGATGAATACAATAAGGATGCACATACGCTCCTCCCCATTATGGTTGGGAGGCCCATGGACGGCATTGATTACTTCCTTTTGGAAGGATGTACCACCCCTCACCCCTGCCTAAGTTAGCCTGCTTGACTTAGGACCTGACACTGTAGGTAGGCTGGCTTCCGCTACTTCTGTTTGTGGCATGTGGTGTATCTGCGTAGGACTTGACTAGCTTACACCTCTCAGCTGTTCGGCTGTCAGACCAGATTTAAGTACTGAAGTTACTGGCCAGACTCATATGCTGTTGGTTTTGCTAAGTAGATAGAAACTTAGGTGTTCCGGCATTTGATGATGTTTGAAATTTCCATTTGTCTGAAGTTGTAGATAGCTTCTAAGGCCTATGCCCTGCACGCTAAAACGTGCTTACTTAATTCTTTTATTGATATATAATTTGAATTAAGTCGTTTGGCGGATACTTTGCGGGTTGTACAAGAAGAACGCGTCAAAGATCAAAGAATATGTTCTCCGTAACGACTGATTCACGTTGTGTTGCGCTGTGTGTGGAGGAATGCGTTCTGTGCAGATTAACATCGTGGACGGCAAAATGCAGTACTTATTTGACGAGGACGGACGACGATACTTGGATGCATTTGCAGGAATCGTTACTGTCAGTGTTGGCCATTGCCATCCTGAGGTAGTAGAGGCAATTGAAGCCCAAAATAAACTTGTACAGCATACTACCACAATTTATCTGAACCATCGGATTGCTGATTACGCAGAAGCTCTTGCTGAGAAGATGCCTGGAGACCTGAAGGTATATTGACGATCTACCCCCGCCCCACTTCCACAGTTCTTAAACCACCAGTACTTCCACAGTTCTTAAACCACCAGTACTTCCGAGGCAGGTATACTTCCGAGGCAGTTCTTATCTGAACCATCGGATTGCTGATTACGCAGAAGCTCTTGTAATGAACCCAGTCTGACAGATACTCAGAAGTCGTCAATCCTCAGTAGTCTCATCATCTGCATCAATGTCTCCAAATCGTGAAGTGATAACTCAGACAGTATCTCATTACCATCAAAAGAAAAGAGTGGAGGGGGAACAGACAAAGGAGAAGATGTAAGATTACACAGTACTAATCCCTTCAACTCCCTCTGCTTCTCCGGGCTTCTTCCCTCTCCACGTCAACAATGATAATAAGTATATTCCTGATCACATACAATAGTGCCACGTGGCACTTAAATCTCGTGAAGACTACGAAGACATAGCAGAGTCCAGTGACGACGTCAACCTCAGGTGTGTACCCGACCTCCTTCATCCACAGATCCCGATCTTCCTCCTCCYCGCAACCAGTCACCTCATGTAGACAGCGTGGACAGTGCCACGTCAGCAGTCGAGATAGGTGGCATATGCCACATCATCAATGAAGACCAGTGGCAGCGTCACATCAGCATGTTGTAATGAAGCCTGCAGATTCTCAGTGGACTGTACATTGGGCCGAGGGCGAAACTTGGGGCTTGCCTCGGTCGGCTCGCGTCTTAGGTTAGATTCCTAATTTTGTTTGGCTGAGGGCTAACCGAGAGACCTGCCTGTAAGGAAATTCAGTTAGTGCTGGGCCTGTATTTTCCCGAATTTACAAATATGTCCCTCCCGATACCAACTGTTATAATTCTGGTTGTTTGTTGTCTGAGACCAACACTTGCACACATAGACTTCCAGGTATGCCCATACATACACCGAAGGAAGGGGAGAGGATAGGAGTATCACACCACACAGGGAGAGATAAACACAGCGAAAGACTTGACCATGAGATATGACAGGGTTCACTGAAAGTGCAATTCACTCCACTCAATCCTCACAACCAGTCATAAAGAAAAGCCGAGCAGGTCACATCCAGGAAAACAATGAAACGATGATAGTCCACACCCAGCTCCACACTGTTTATTAAACTCAGCGTCTCGAATTGTCAGGATAACTTCAATACTACAGTGCGCTGCTCAGAAATGAGCAGCGCTTCACTCCCAACCCTGAGTAACCACTCGTAACACCCCTGAGCCTCTGAAACATTAAGGGCCACCAGGTACAGCCTCCACAGGGAAGCGCCACCCTGAAACAGGCCTCTGAGGCCAAGTGCCACTCAGAGGATGAAGAAGAAGACCAGCACCACAGTATCTGATGATGACGAAGTGTCGAAAGACTTCCCGAATGGAAGTCTGCAGCAGCGCCACCAAATCCTGACAAGGTGACCTCTGAGGAAGAAGCTGCAGCTATGGCTGCAGCGCTACAACCCTGGAACCCCACTCCGGAGGAGGGTCCAGCAGGGCACCAACTTCTCTCGCCTCCAACAGACCTCGATAGCCCAGACCTCGATAGCCCAGACCTCTGTCAGCCCCTGTGTGCTGGCGGAGTACAGCGCAGGTCCCAGCTATGGCCGACGCTCCGATGGTCTGGCTATGCCTGTCTCCTTCCACGCTGAGCCGTCACCACTTCCGGTTCACACGTAGTGCAACAGCGATGTACTTGGTACCAACTGCCAAAAGCCCTAAACCGATGTGCCCATCCTATCTATAGACTACAACTAGCCTAAACTCGACCTAGACCGGACTGACTGACTGACCGGTACCGATTCAGTTTCGGCCTCTCGGCCTTTACCGTACCCGGCTATAGGCTATAGGACCGTCTATCAGCGTAGGACCTTAGGGCCTGTCTGTCCTAGGGGTAGCCCGGGCCTGCTATTCACAGTTAGGGTAGCAGTAGGAAATTCAGTTAGTGCTGGGCCTGTATTTTCCCGAATTTACAAATATGTCCCTCACGAATTTCCTTACAGGCAGGTCTCTCGGTTAGCCCTCAGCCAAACAAAATAGGAATCTAACCTAAGACGTGACCCGATCGAGGCAAGCCCCAAGCTTCGCCCTCGGCCCAATGTGCAGTCCACTCAGAATCTGCAGGCTTCATTACAATGCAATGTGGACCAGAAGTAGCGCCACGTCAGCATGCACTGTAAACTAGAAGTAGCGCCATATCAGCATGCAATGTAGACCAGAGGTAGTGCCACATCAGCATGTAATGTAGACCAGAGGCAGCGCCACATCAGCCTTGAAGACCTGAGGCAGCGCCACATCTGCATGCCATGAAGACCAGAGGCAGTGCCACATCAGCATTGGCGCACAAAAGAAGCACCAGCATGCTGCCTCCACATTGTGTTGTTGTCCACAACACCGGTGCACAACCACCGTGTAGTAGCGTCGTGCCAATATGAAGCCAGCGTCTAGTCAAAGTCGAACCAGCGTTAAGCAGCATAGCAAGATTGAATGCTTGACTCACTCAAGGTCAGCCTTAAGTAGCAGTTGTCGAGGTTGTCAGGCCTCGGTGCTTTTCCCACAGTCGTCCAGATTGGCTCATATCTGAAGGCCCGCATTGTACAGTTGCAGAGTTCTTCCTTGGACCTGATGCTGTCTAGGTACCTGCATACAAACATGTGTGTGTGCCTAACCAGCGGCCTGGGCTAGGTACCTTCGGACTTTGATTGTTGGGTGGACCGACAGTTGAGTCAACTGTCACACGCCCAGGCCCTGAATTCGTGTGGGGTCTTTTTCCCCTGTTTCGGCCAGGGCTGAGGGCGGCCAAGTAGGCCCTCAGATGACCCTTAGCTTCTACGAGACATATGGCATGGGTTATTGCATTCCTGCCGGCCCAGTTTTCGAGTTCCATCGCAGAAATTACATCAATTCTTAGTTAACCCACGTTCCTATGCAGCAAGAATATCAGGAGCAGTGGGTAGGAGTTCTTTCCTACTAAACCATCTGGCTTGAGATGGAGGTTGGGTTTTGAACTTGTACTGCTTCTGAGGTCATCCCTTGCCACCTGTAGAGAAATAGCCATGTTCCAATATTCTGTCAACTTCATAGCCTCCATTCATAGAGGGTGGAAATATAGATGACCTATTCGGAAAGTTATCACTTTCTACATAGGGTAGCAGGTGAGACGCATGAAAGACAGGGTGTGTCCTTAGATGTGCAGATACATCTATACGGTAGGAAGGTCCATCTTCACCTCCAATCACTTTGAGAACTTCCCAGGGCCCGTAGTATACAGGTAGCAGTTTCTGAGACACATTTTCTTCTAAGGAAAACTCTTTAGACTTAACCCAAACAAAGTCCCCTTCTTGGAACTGTGAAGGACGACGATGTTTATTAGCTTGTTTTATCATTTGCAATTGGGATTTCTATATGTTTTCCTTCTCCTTCTTAATGTCTTCTTCGTACAAAACTGCGAATTCACGTGTACCTGGGGGTAGCCTCTGGATCGGGTCCCTGGTTAGTGCGTCAATGGGACACCTAGGCTTCCATCCTTTGTGCAGTGCATTAGGCGTTCTACCTGTGACAGTATGTATACTGTTATTATAAGCACTAGCAATTTTAGGCAAGTTCTGATCCCAATCAATTTGGTCAGGACGGACATACATTCGCAAAAGTGGTTGGCAGAGATGATTCATTTGCTCAGTTTGCCCATTCATTTCAGGATGTCGGCCTGACGAAATGGTCAACCTGGTCTCATAGACTTCCATCAACTTCTGCCATTGTAGACTTGTGAATCGAACATCTCTATCTGATATGATGGTTTTGGGATATCCATACTCAGAGACCCATCGCATTTGAAACTTTTGAATGTCGAGTTCAGTTCTAGCTTCAGCAGGGAAAGGAATGAACATAGCATACTTAGAGAATTTATCGACAATGACCATTACCTGACTGTTGTCATTTCGACTCTTAGTGAGGCTCATAAAGTCAATAGAGATGGACTCACCTGACTCACTAGGAATAGGCAGCGGTCTCAATAGTCCCATCAAATTCTCATGTGAGGGTTTGTTCCTCTGAAAGACAAAACAAGTCCGCACATACGTTAGTACATCTTCCTTCGTTCCTTTCCGTTCAAAACGTTCATGTACACCAACATACGTCTTCTTAAAACCAAAGTGTCCTTCAACATCATGGCATTCCCCAATGATTAAACTCTTGATTGATTCTAGGTGAGGAACACACAATCTTTCTTCGGTTTTATCCAGCAAGAAGAGTAAGCCATCACTCGTTCGATATTGTGGAAACAACTCAGGGTTCTTTCGTAGAGTCTCAATGATAGGACTCAAATAGGATCATTCCCATAACCTTGGCTGATCTGTTCTTTCAGTTCATTTTCGATATCGAGATATGAGACAATGGTTCCAAAGAAATCTGCACGCCTGGACAAAGCATCCGCAACCACATTAGACTTATCTTTGATGATTTTCACCTCTAAGTTAAATGTGTTAAGGAAAGCGGACCACCTGACCAACTTGTCGGAGAGCTTAGGTTGAGTCTTGATCCACTTCAAAGTAAAGTGATCAGAGTAGACAGTGAAATATCTCCCTAACAAGTAGTGCTTTCAGGTATGTAGTGCAACAACTAAGGCATACAATTCCCTTTCGAAGGTGGGGTTGACCATTTTTTCTGACGGAAGTCTTCTGGACATAAACTCAATAGGTCTATAGCCCTTACCGTCATCTTGCTGTAGCATAACCCCAATCCCATACTGACTTGCGTCAGTCGTGATAATGAAAGGAAGAGAGGGATCAACAATCTTTAAGACAGGATAGTGAGTCAGAACATGCTTTAACCTTCTAAATGAGGACTCACAATCTTTGTCCCACAACCAAGGTTTTTCCTTTTTCAGTAGTCTTCTTATAGGAGAAACTACCAAGGAGAAGTTTCTGACGAACTTCCTATAGTAGCTAGCAAGTCCTAGGAAAGATCTTAGTCCAGTTATAGTCTTTGGTT